TGGGAGTGCGGCAGCACTCCCGCTGAGGGTTCGGATCCCATGTGGAGACCGGTTCCTGCTCACTGGCTGAGTGCGGTGCGGGTGCAACACTGAGAGTTGCGATCCCGTTGCCGGTCTCCAGTACGGGCGCGACACCAAGGGTTGCAATCCCGTTACCGGTCAGTAAAAAACACAAAAAAAAAAACAAAACTACTGTTTCAGAAATAACATAAGGAAAATTTTCCAGAGAGAATGGTATTGACATTCAGTTGACATTTTTAAAAATGAACACAAAGTTTGAGGTTTAGGAAATAAGAAAATCAAGTGGACATGAAGCCTTTCCTAGGACTGAAAGGGATTTTACTTTGAGAAGTACAAAATTTAGTGTGGATTTTACTGCCATGCCCTACACAACCTTGGCTAACAGAGTCCTTTCTTTGGTCTTACAGGAGGATTTCTCTGGCTACGACTTTGAAAACAGATTGCACGTCCGCATCCATGCTGCTCTGGCCTCTCTGAGAGAATTGGTTCCTCAGTGACAGACCCCGAGTGCCTGGCTCTGTCCCTCCCCACCCAGGGTCTGCACTTTAAAATAAAAGCAGAGGACAAAGTTCTTGTGAAGATCGGCTTTTCTTCTGAAAACCACCTGTGCCAGGGACACACTTTCCCAGTAGATCTTTTTCAAACATATAGCTAAAAAGTAAGATGATGCTAATGATGATGATAACTAGCCACCTGGGGAGAAGGTTAAGTGACCTTGTTTAAACATTTTAGTTTTGTGATTTATTGTTTTTAAAATAAAATCGAACTAAATATTCAACCTGTGATCTTATAGGAATGCCTACCTTAAGCACACATCTGAATGGGTAACATTAAGAGGCACCTGTAAAATTATTAACAGTGTCACGACACAGCATTTATATTGTGTTTTGAAAAAACAGAAGTGCTTTCTAGTGTTTTACTTTATCCTCAAAATACTCCTGTGAATAATGTAGCACAGATATTCTTATCCCCATTTTACATTTAATGAAACTCAGGTACAAAAAGGCTTACCCCAACTTATTCCTGTTATCAGTGGAGCAATGACTAGAAAGCGATCTCCTGATCACCAATTGAATATTCTTTTATTGTAAAAAAAAAAAAATTAATAACCCAGATTTCCATGTTTTACATATTAAAAGAACAAATGCTCTTCAGCTAAAGTTGTGTCATCAAAAATATTCGTCTCCAGATTGTCTACAAAATGTTTCAAAGTGATGAACACTTTTTTTCCTTTGAAAGCCAACTAAGTAGGAGCAAATAGAAAATTTTACAATCAGAAGTATAACTTTTTTGCTAATCTATTAGAAAGTCTAGTTTATAGATTAGAAAAATAATATTTACACTTTAGGAGTTACACTTTTTTTTCTTTTTTTTTTTTTTTTGTCTTTTTCGTGACCGGTAAGGGGATCGCAACCCTTGGTGTGGTGTTGCCCACACCGCACTCAGCCAGTGAGCGCACCGGCCATTCCTATATAGGATCCGAACCCGCGGCGGGAGCGTCGCTGCGCTCCCAGTGCCGCACTCTCCCGAGTGCGCCACGGGGTCGGCCCAGGAGTTACACTTTCTTTGTGAAAATTGTCAATTATCAACTTTTAGAAATCTTTTAACAAATTACTTGAAAAGGCTATTCTTGAATGAACAGAGGTTTTTGCCTCAAAATATATGATGGTAAAGCATTTTCTGGGTTATATATTGCCAGGAGTTAATAATTTTCCCCTTAGCTCAGGTTAATAGATAATATAAAAGGAGTTCAAAGTTATTTTTTTATCCTGCATTACTAATTTTTATTGTCATTAAAATATTAGTACTAGTATTGCACACCTGTGGTTTTGAAGAATCCAAATACCTCAGTCACTTTTAAGAATCTTTGCCATAATTTGGCTTACTCTTAAGGTTAGGTGTTTTTTAATTTATATTGAGCTAAAGGATATCATTTTTGAGTATCATTTATTTACATAACTTTTTGGCTGAAGCATGATCTTACACGATGTTAATATTTTAATATTTCTTTTCAAAATAAAACATGGGAAATGCAGCTAGCATGTTGGCAAATTTAATCTGATTTAGTCTTGTTTTGAGGGAATAAGAATTTCTTTGAAAGAAATTATTCCTCACTGACTTTGGCTAAATGATCTTCATGTTTGCTCATCATTGTCACCGGCCACTTTTTAGTGGAATGCAGCTAGCATGTTGGCAAATTTAATCTGATTTAGTCTTGTTTTGAGGGAATAAGAATTTATTTGAAAGAAATTATTCCTCACTGACTTTGGCTAAATGATCTTCATGTTTGCTCATCATTGTCACCGGCCACTTTTTAGTGGACTGTTTCCAAAGTGTTTATTCACATTGACTTTCTGCATGATGTGAATTCCTTGTGGATTTTAGATACTGGCAAGAGAGAAAAGATTACTATCTTACACTCAGTAAATGAGTATTTCCAGAAGCCGAGAAGAGAAAATTGTTTTCAAGAGAAAAATTGGTGACAGAAAATATTGGATGCCTGGTTTTGTCTAGACTGAAGGGCAGGACATTACGAATCTTTAAAATATGGCTATTGCCGTTTTGTTCTCTTCTTAATCTAAGCATGTGTGGCAAACTTTTCTGTCATGATTGTGGAACATTCGGAATCATGAAGCTCTTGCTTCAGAGTTCATTCTTACTTGAATTTTCAGTTCAAATATTTCTCAAACTGTTATTTCATGTTCAAGGATTACATAAAGCCCTCTGATTTCTAGTTTTTTAAAAATTTAGTTTCTGCGTTAACTGCTTAAAAAATTACTTTTATTTCCCCATAGAGATTTCAGGATTTCAAATAAGTTTGTGTTCAGCTCACTTAACTGGATATACAACTTTGCAACACCATGCAGTAGGTTTTCTTTTCTAGTCAAAGCACAGATCTGTTTAAAAACAGTCTGTCCCAGGCTTGGTGCAGATACCCTCTGGGTTACATCTGTGTTAATGTGGTGGTAGACCATGGAGCATGGGATTCTAAAGACTCCAAAATAACAAAACCACAGTGTCAGTACCATAGGTTGACTGGAATTGGAGTACATTTTGAGTTGTTATCTGGCCTGCGTGCTATGACTCATCCAACCTGTGAACTGACTGTGATCTGCCTGGTAACTTGGTTTGGTGTGAACTGCCCTTTACCCCTCGATGATGAAGAAAATAATCATGTAAGCAGAACTGTTTGCATCTATGTGTGCTGTTTTTCATGATTTCGTCACTCACTCTTTCCCCTTTCCTGTTTTGGAGGCCCTCAGATGAATCTTCTAATTTATAAATGTCCAATATATTTTTGTATTAGATTGTGCCTATGATGAGAGAAGTCTCTAATGTATATTTTGTGTATGCTGAACACATTTTTATAATTTGACACACTTGGAGGCATGGTTTAGTAATAATGTAATATGTACCTTGCTGGTTAATGTATTTAAGATTTTACCTTTATTGGGTTAGGTATATTTTATTTTAGTGCATGATAGCTACATCTTCTACTGAGTAAAGAATTATAACTTTTAGGTATCACAAAAAATTAGAATATTTGTTGTATATTATATGTCAGTTATTTACTTAATTTGCATTTTTATATTTCTGCCAACTAAAATTAAAGGACAATGCATATCTGATTTTTAAAACATACATACACACACATATATTTCCTTTGATGTATAAATTTTTCTAGTTGATTTTTTTCCTGAAACAAATTGTGGTGGTAAATATTCAAATATGGCTTTATACCTGTGAACATATACATTCACACAGTCATGATGTACCATTTTGGTTTCTGTGGTTGGTATATTTTGTAGGAAGAAAATTGTTAAACCCAGATCATTCCAAGAAGACTTATAGTAGAGGCACATGATTTAGATGCTAGGAAGAGGTAAAGCAGAAAGAGAAAAGGACAGGAGAAGCAAAAGAATGGAAAGTTGGTCCATAACAGATGTGCCCCTTCTTTAGTGAAGTGTGCAAAAACCACCAGGAGCAGAGCATAACTGGCTTTCTTGTGAAGACTAGCAAGGGAGCTGAGCTCTATCTCCTAGTGTCACAGGGGCCATTTAACTCCTGGCTGAGGCTCCCCGAAATTGATATTGACTCACAGGTCCAGCTGCTAGTCCCCAGACAAAAGCAAACCACTCAAAAGTCAAAGGCTGGGGAGAATGGAAGTCAGCTTTTATTCAGGAATACTGGTGATCTGAGAAGAGTTGTTAGGCTAACCCATGTTTCCAGTAAATCTGAAGGAAAATGGCCAGGCTAAAGCCATCTCCAAGACTCAGGTTTACTGAGGGGTTTTTAAAGGAGTAAGGGGGTCGAGGGAATGGAACATGGGAAATGAAAAGCAGGAGAGGAGACGTGAGCTACGAGGGGTCTGTGTCTATGAGTCACGTACAAGGTCTCGCCAAGGCCTCGTCTGGTTTCTGTTCTCATCTTCGCCATTATCTCAGGACCCTGCAAGATTTTGATTTGCTCCAGAGTAGAATCAACTCTCCTGCAAAGCCTTTTGTGTGGTTTCGCTTCTGGTTTACGTGGCTGTTGCCCAAGGTCAGTTTCCAGTCACTTGGCCTTGATCACTTCTCAAAACTCTACAAGTCTCAAAGACCTGTTAGCTTTGCAAAGTATTGATTAGCTTCTCAGTTTTGTTTTCCTACTTAGCAAGCAAGATAAGAAAGTCATGGGAAGGAAGAGTGGAGAGAAACTGTCCTTTTTAACATCCCACACCCCCGCTGCAGTCCAGGCAGTTTTAGGTCCCAACATAGCTTCAGTCCTGCTAATTCCAACACTAGTTGACTTGGATATGGCATTGAAGCAACACACTTATAACCCAGGTGACCTCTGGGTAACACTTAATTTCTCCCCCCACAATTTTTGTGTTTTACAGATTATCCTTATTCTAAGAAATTCCGATTCAGAAGATTCTAAGTGAGGCTTGGGAAGGCATTTTTCACAAGCTCCTGGGATGATTCTAATGTACCTGTTGGATTAGAGAAACATTGCCCCAGGTCATCATCTTTTGTTAAGTATTTAGTAAATCTGAGACAAAAGTCAAACAAACAGAATTAAGGTTAAGCTCAGTCATAGAGTTTATATCATGAGGCCACTGAGGAAGTTATATTGAACATTTTTCCATGTACTTGTTGGCCATTTGTATGTCTTTTGAGAAATGTCTATTCGGGTTATTTAAATCAGATTATTTGGTTTTTTTGTTGTTAAGTTCCTTGTATATTCTGGATATTAATCCCTTGTTGGATGAATAGTTTGCAAATATTTTCTCCCATTCTGCTGTTGTCTCTTTGCTCTGTTGATTGTTTCTTTTGCTGTGCAACAGCTTTTTAGTTTGATAAAATCACATTTGTCTATTATTGCTTTTGTTGCCTGTGCTTCGGAAGTCTTCTCCATAAAATTTTTGCCCAGACCAATGTCTTCGAGTGTTTCCCTGTGTTTTTTTCTAGTAGTTTTATAGTTTCAAGTCTTAAATTTAAGTTTTTAATCCATTTTGAGTTGACTTTTGTAAATGGTGAGAGACAGGGATCTAGTTTCATTCTTCTACACATGAATATCCAGTTTTCCAGCACCAATTTTTTTTTTCCCTTTTTTTGTCTCTTTTTTCGTGTCCGGCAACGGATCGCAACCCTCAGTGTCGCACCCGTACTGGACCGGGACCGGCAACGGGATCGCAACCCTCTGTGCTGCACCCGTAACTCGCTCAGCCAGTGAGCGGGAACCGGTCTGTATGTGGGATCCGAACCCTCGGCGGGAGCACCGCCGCGCTCCCAAGCGGCGCACTGTAGCAGTGCGCCACCCGGCCGGCCCCTAAAGTAGATTTTTGAGCTGAGTTTAAAAAGGATAAGAAGATGCAGTCAGGTGAAAATGATAGCTGGAGGGGCATCCCAGGCCTTGGACCTCATGAGCAAAAGCACAGAAATGACAAACAGCATGTGTGTTCTAGTTTCTAGAAAGTCAAATGGGAACTAAGTAGTGAGAGATGAGATAGAAGAGGTATGCAGAGGCCACACTGAAAACCTTGGACTTCTATAGGGTAAGGATTTGGGGTACAGGGAAGGGGGGAAGTGGAAAACAAGTTAAATTTGCATTTTAGTTAAATCACTAGTGACTGAAAGGGAGATGAACGCAAGGACAAGATTGTAAAATCACATCAGATCATTAGGAGTTCAAGAAACCAAAGCATCAAGTGGGCAATGGTTTGAAAATTCTTGGTTAAATGTTTTCACTGTGACAATTTGCATTTCCAAGTAATTCAGACAAAATAGTCTTTGAAGGAATGAGGAAAGAAAACTCAGAAGGCAAGCCTTCCGAGTTACAAGTATTTCTGCACAGTATCTGACATCCAATATGTGTTCATGATGACCCACCAAGGTTAGACTATATGACCATAAATAGGGTCTCTAATGTTTATACAGAGGTTTTAGTAGCTTAGTTCATTAAACCTTTAGTAATTAAATGTATTATAAACCAAGCCATCAGAAATCATGACAGCTCTTCTTGTATTTACGCTACCAAAGTGGGGCTGGAGGCAAGTGGTAAAAAAGGGACCAGCTGCACACCTGTCAGAGCATTTCTTTTTAAACATGTAATCACAAGAAGAGGGAGCTTGTGTGGCACGTAATGAGCACTGAATAATAATAATTTTTTTTGTGTGTGTGTGTGTCCGGCAACGGATCGCAACCCTCAGTGTCGCGCCCGTACCGGACCGGGACCAGCAACGGGATCGCAACCCTCGGTGTTGCTCCCACACCTCGCTCAGCCAGTGAGCGGGAACCGGTCTGTATGTGGGATCCGAACCCTCGGCGGGAGTGCCACCGCGCTCCCAAGCGGCGCACTGTAGCAGTGTGCCACCGGGCCGGCCCTGAATAATAATTATTAAACGGATGAATGAATTGTCCCAGAAAATGCTGTCTGTAACATGGATGTAGACTGAGGCATTAATAATGCCTTTTATTGCAAAGTGCTCTGGAGGCCTTAATTTTTCCTGAATTAAACGATGTTTTTTGTTTGTCAGATATATACCCTGATGATGCTGTTTAACAGTTGACTTACAGTGGTTTTTGTTAAACATTTGAAGGCAGATTACAATGAAGGCTGCTTGGAATCTGATAATCATGATTATGGTGTTAAATGCCCAGCACAAATATGAGTCTGAATGGGTGAAAGAGCAGCGAGTGGGTATTTTTAAATGAGGCAACGTGCCTTTTGTTTGGGAAAACTGAGGTTACTTGTTTACTTGTAACCTATTGCTGATGATACGGTTTGGGGGTATAGATTGTACACAAAGCTTCAGGATTAACACCAAACTCTCATCTCACAGGCGAGTTTCTCAAAAGGAAAAGTGCTGTGTTGCATAAACTGATTCACTCTCTTTATACTAGTGTTTGTTGTGTACACCGTGGTAGGAATTATTCTTGTAATAGACTACGGGGGCGAGTAGTAGTGTGTGGAAAGGAGAGGCCATGACGGCAAGATAGGACTTCCATAAATCTATTTCTCCTTCCTTCCAAACCAGCTCCTACTTCAGCTCGAGCGACCAAAGACTGAGAGGCACTAGCCTTGACCTACCCCTGGCCGTTTGGAAACGCCAGTTTCCCTGCTCCTGCTCTCATTCTGTCAGAAAAGACCACGCTCGACTCCCCCACCCGCCGACTTCCGGTCTTTGTCGCTCTCGGCTCCCCATTGGCTGGGGCTGCCGCGGCCCCGCCTTCTACCGTGGCACCCGGAGCCACCTGCGAGAGGGCGGGGCTTTGTGACGCACGCCCTGACGTCTCCAGGGCTATAAAAAGCCGCGCCGGGTCGCCATCTCCTACAGGAGCCGCCGGCAAGGGCGCTACGAGGAAGCTATTTGGAGCGTTGCCGGAGAGGAGAAGGTGGGGACGAGTCTGGAGAAGAGGCCCAGCGTGCGGTCCCGGGGGCAGTTAGGCCCTCGGGTGTCTCTCGCGTCTGGAGAGGTGGACAGAGCCTCAGGTGTCCTGACGGAAGGTCCCGGAGTGGGAGGCCTGTGGGGAGGGCCGGCCCACACCGGCGAATGCTGTGACAGGACGGCCCGCCCCACCTTTCACTGTTCCCTCCCCCAGGCAAACCAAACGGCAGAAAAAGCCCGACACATCAGGGCCGGCAGACCCCAGCCGGGTCCCTTAGGGAGGGAGTGGTGTGTGCCGTTCACGGTGGTCGTGGCTCTGGAGTCTCCACTCGCGTCCACGGCCGGAGGCGGCGGCGTCTTCCTCAAGGCGTTACACCTGTGGAAGGGGGCAGATGGAAGTCCACAATTTGGCGGGGCGGGGAAGGGTAGTAAATTTTGGTTTTGACAAGTATTCTTGAAAGGAGGGCTTCGGAGAGAATTACGAAACTGTCGCTTTTAAACAACTCTCAATGTCTGTGTCTGTGACTGTGTCTTACCCGTTGATGAAGTTACGCCTGGTGCCACGGTATTAACCTGCTCAGGACCGTTCTTTGTGTGGAACTACGTGGTAGGACGTTCAGCATCCCTGGTCCCTACGTGTTCCCCATGGGACGGGAGCGCGGCATACCGCCCGGTTGATAACTGTAGGACCTGGGGGTCGTGGGCTGCGTGGCTTCTCTCCCCGCAGTTGGTAGCACCAACGGTTAATCACCTACAGAAAGGGTGTTTCGTTAGCTCTGTCAAGGCTGTTGGTAGCCACTTTGAAAACGACCTATCTGCTCACCCTTGGATACTTTCTAAAAAATTATTTTTATATGTATAAGTATATATGTACATATATGTGTCATACATATATTTTTACTGCCTATGTCCCTTAGGATTTAGTCGTGAGCCTCGCAAAGCTGCACTACCGCTTTTTTAAAGATGTTTTAATTCAGTAAAGCTCCTGTTGAATGATACTATGGCAGTAAGTTTTCATTAAGGGATTGAATACACTGACTATATTCTTAAAGGATTTGCTCTGGCCAATATAGATTCATTTTGTCCTGACCTTTGAGAAGATGAAATGTGTTTTTAAAAAATATTCAACGTTTTCTGTAACACATTAGTTGCTTTATATTAGAAGTTGTTCTCTTTCATAATTGCTGAAACTAAACTGTGTGTCTTAGCCCCATTACTTTATTTAGTAGGGATGTTGTTGACATGGTTCATTATAACACATTATCCTCCTCTTTATAATGACCCATGGGAGTAATTTCTCTTGGGTCTCAGTGTCTGTGATTCTCCCAAGCAACTGATTTGTTTTTTTTACCTCAGGAAACCTGAATCATTAAACCACTTGTTTCCCATTTTGTGATGGCTGCTTGGTAGCTCACGGACTGATTTGATACCAGTCTCTCTCAAAATGAAGCACCTGTGGTGTGCATTGGAGTGCTAACTTTTTCTTTAGCTTCATTCTATTTTTCCTACCATAATTTTTCCCTTACCACCAAACAGATTACCTTACATATTTAATTTTGTTTTTTATGTATATAAGCCTTCTTAAATAATTTTTTAGAATAAGAACACCCCCCCCACACACATTCATACATATATACACACTGACAGTTTAGGGTGGCAGCCTCTGCAACTCTGAGAATTACAGGCTGAACTATCCAGCACCCTTGGTACCACTTAAATTCCAGAAAGGCAAGACAAGGAGGAGATGGGGAAAATTAGGGTAGAGTTTAAGGGAGGATACGAGAAAAGAAAGGTGGTATGATAGGTGGTAAAATAATACCACAAACAACTTATATCTACTCTGCTTAATGTTAAAAACAAATTTAAAGCTAGAGAATGCATAAAGATAAGCAACGTGTCTGGGGATATATTTTTTTAAATAAGGGAAAAAGTTTTTCTTGTAAAAACACTGTTTTGTAACTATTTGATGAATATACAGAGAAGCCGGTGCCTATGTGGTTTGGAAGGACATTGTTTGGAAACAGATACATGAGCTTAAATCTTGAACTGTTACTGCACAAAATATTCACTGAATTTTACAGAAGCAGGTTTTATTTGGTTGGTTTTTTCTTTGTTTTTAATATCATCCTGGGGGTCTCGGTAGGGCTTTTCCTATGGTTTTCTTTAATAGTACTTGGGTTGCTTACCAGCATATAGTCAGCTAGTAGTGGGTTTTTTGTTGCTGTTTTTAACTGCAATCAAGAATTAGCCCATTTTACTAGAATAAATACCTAGAGATTAGAACCAAAGCTAATAATTTTTTTTCCCAAAGCTAATAATTTTAATAAGAGATGGATTTGTTCTTGAAAACCATAGTTAATTCATAATAAATATTTTAATTAAAAAAACTAACATACTATTTATAAGACTTTGTTTTTCTTTGTTATAGTTGAAATTACAGATATCCTGTCAAAATGATTTCTTCAAAGCCCAGACTTGTCGTACCCTATGGCCTTAAGACTCTGCTCGAGGGACTTACCAGAGCCATTCTCAAAACTAAGCCACCAAACATCACCCAGTTTGCAGCAGTTTATTTTAAAGAACTTATTGTGTTTAGAGAAGGTTTGTTATTGCTTTAGACAATATATTTGTTACTTTGAAAAGAAAAGTATTTTAAGTTGGAGGTTTTATGTATCTGTATTTGATTTCTTGTATTTATTCCTTCAGGGAATACTTCTCTGGATATAAAAGATCTGATTAAACGTTTTCATCAGATTAAAGGTAAGTATCATAAGTGGTGATAATTTATAGCCACATTATTAAAACTATTGCATCATTACTAGCATACATTCAAACTTAAGAATGATGCCTACATATATTTCCTGTTTAAATAATCACACTAATGCTTTATTTTTATTAATCATTTTTATCATGATTTTATTAAATCATTTTTTAAAAAAATCTGGGGACTGACATTTTGGAGGACAGTAAGTCTTAAGAAAAAACAGGAAAAACTTATCTTTTGCAAAACACTCAGTACAATGAATGTACTTAAAGAACTAGATTGGTGTGCATAAACTGTGACTCAGACCCTTTCAGATATGGCCTGTCTTTAGGAAAGTAGAAGAATTGGATTTTAAATCTTTGTTTTGGTGGCCGGCCACTATGGGGATCTGAACTCTTGACTTGGTGTTATAACACTGTGCTCTAACCAACTGAGCTAACAGGCCAGCCTGAGAGTTGGCTTTTATAGTAATACTCAGGTTATAACAAGATACATTACTGACAGAAGTTTTATAAATACTCTTCTTGGAATACATTTTTTTAAAAAAAGAAAAAGTTAACCAGTTATTTTTTACCCCTGATGGCTTACATGCAGCACAGGCTGGAGGACAGGATTAGGTGTCTCTGACCATACTTCCTGCTCCAGAAGTCTCTCTTATGTATGAAGAGATAAGTTCTTCATAGACAGGGTCTTCCCTGGCAGGTTTCAGACTCTTATATCTGCTTAGAAGAAAGTTGTGTTTTGTGCGTGTAAGTGTAAATGTCTGTCTTACGTGTCAACTGAGTTGACGGAGCAATGAAAAAGTCGGGGAGGTGAAATAAGAGAAAGTTTACATAATGAAAGTTTGGGAAGGTCACGGTAAGCAAAAGAGGATATAATGGTCAAATCTCAAGGACAGGCATACATGTCTAAAAGAATGGCAAGAAAAAGCTTCTCACAGAATTCTGTGAAGAGGGAAAATGGAGACTCATGGCCAGTGTGGCAAATAACTAAATAATTCTTACTACATTGTCTGATGAACATTTTGGAATGATCATAGAGAAAGAAAGAGGTGGAATTCAGTGAGTTGTCAGCCACTTTTGTACTGTCACTTCGGTGACATTAATAGATAACATAACCAAGGTAGAGAAAAATTAGGAGTAAGACCTAGGAAGATGTAAAAATCATGAGTGTTTGGATCTGCAATTAAAATGATACCCAAAACAGAACACAAGATTAAGAATAGCAAGGGTCAGCATTTGAAGGGGCAGGAGAACGAAATGCCATGGTTCGGGAATATTTTATTGTGCAGTCTAGCTGCTTCCTTGAAGGGATCTGACAGCATTCTATCTCACCATAGGAAACAGGTTTGGTACTTGCTTACTATCAGGAGGGGTTATACAGATAACTGCAAGAACATTAACCACTTTTCCCTTTCCCATGAGCCTAGTTTCCCAGGTAGTCAAGGTTATTATTGTCTTTGTACTTATGTCCTCTATACCAGAAGTTGTATTTGGACGTATTAGGAGTATGCAGGCTTGCTATGTTTGAGAGTGATAATAAAATCAGTGAATCTTTATAGTGGAAAGTAGCTTTTCTCCCCCCACCCTCACCCCCCTGCCATTTTGCTTTTTTTCTGATTCATCCATGTTGATACTGTAGATCAGGTTTATTCTTTTTAACTGATCTGTGGTCTTCCAAGATATAACCATACCACTAGGCATTTTTATATTGGTGAACATTTGTGTTTTTTCCTGTGTTTTTCTTTACTGACAGTGTACAATGAATATATTTGTGCTTGTGTCTTATGCACATGGAAGATTTTTTTCTAGGTATAAACCTAGAAGTGAAGTTATGGATAAGAGAGTATGCCCTTTTTCAACCTAAAGATTCTGCCTGATTATTGTACGAAGTGTCTATACTGATTATAAATCTATCCATCAATTCGAGAATTCCCATAGTATTCATATCTCAACAATATTTAACATTGAAAGTAGTTTTTTTTTTTTTTTTTTTTTT